TTCACATTGATACAGGTTTTTATATATTAGTGCAAAAATAAATTTTTTGTTATGATATATGTCCATATATTTATATTCTTCTATTCCTGTTTGAAGTGTTATAACTGTGCAATGTTCTAAACTGCTGGGAAGAAATCACAAGCAAAAGAACTCTGATGGAAATTTACATGTTGTCTGAAAAGCCAGAGACAGTGAAAGACTGGAATAATGATAGGAAAGGGAAGAAAGGAATCTATCTTTGTCTGACTGAACCAGATGAGCAAACACAGGGAAAAGCCTGACCTGAAGGTAAATGTAAGTTGTAGAGGGCCAGAGGGGATGTGAACTTTGCTGAATTTGAAGGGAAACTGTAAGATATATGTGGGATTTAACCACATTATGTTAATTTAGTTTTCTTCATCTTAAAAATAGCTGATGATTCTTCAATGAAAAATGTTTATGTTAAAAATGGAAATATATACATGTGTATGTATGTGGACATATATGTGACTTATGGGTATGAATGAAAGTTGGATCCAACTGTGTGTACATGTGCATGTAACTACTGTCTAATTTTAAACAGCAATCACATGGTCTTCCTCCATCTTGGCTGGTGACCTCATCATGAAGTGGGCAGCCACATGGCTGGCAACAATCTTTAAATAAGGTTAAAGAATCTGTTCATTGTATCTCCTTTTAGACTAAGGAGGCAACAATCCTCATTTATTTTGGACTGGGATAGATTTCTATATGATAATTCATGTTATAAAAATAAGGTTTATATAAAATAGGATTTAAAAATAATGCTTAATAAAATACTAAAGCTGCATCTCAATACTTTTATACACAAGAATGCCCCTTGCTCTGACAGGTAAACTTTGCAATTTAAGAGTCTCCCAGATGATAATGGTCTTAAAGACATGAAGTGATCATGGGAAACAGCTGAGGGTTAATGGATCTTAACAGTTTTGCCAAGTGATGGCCAGAGAAGCATAAGTCACAGGAAAATGGGATAGGCTTGATTCTAGAAGGTATTTTTGGAAGGAACCAAATGTAATAAATGTTCCATTTACTATACAACAAACTGACTGGCTATTTCAAAATAATGATTCTTGGGCAATTGCTTTTGCTCAGTTTTTGGGTCAAACTGATAATCATTATCCTGCTGATCAACTATTACAGTTTGTTCAGATGCATTCTTTTATTTTTCCTAAAGTATTAATATATACTCCAGTGAAAGATGCTGCTGTGGTTTTTTACTGATGGTTCTTCTAATGGAAAAGCAGCTTATGTGATTAATAGTGAAGGATATGTAGTTCAAATTACTCCTGATTCAGCTCAAGTTGCTGAGTTGAGCTGTTGGTTTTTCAAATTCTTAAAGATAATTCATTTAATTTATATGCAGATAGTCACTATATTTATAGAGCTCTTCAAGTTATAAAAACTGTTTCTTATATTAAAACTATTAATGAGCAAATAATAATGTTATTTCAACAAATTCAAGATGTCATTCATTTAAGTAAATTGCCATATTTTATGGGACATACTAGAGCATGTTCAAATCTTCCTGGTCTGTTGTCAGAAGGTAATGTTTTAGCTGATAAATTTACTCAGTTGATTGCTTTATCTCAAGGTGGGCAATCACATGCTTTGTATCATCAAAATAGTAAAAGCTTAAGAAAACAATTTGGTTTAACAAGAGAAACTGCTCATCAAATTGTTAAGAAATGTGCTCTGTGCCCACAATATTTGCCTGTACCTCACTTTGGAGTAAATCCTCGAGGTCTTCTTCCCAATCATTTATGGCAAATGGATGTCACTCATATTATAGATTTTGGAAAATTGAAATATGTGCATGTGACAATTGATACTTATTCAGGATTTTCAATGGCTACTGCTCAAACTGGTGAGGATACTAAGCATATAATTGTTCATTGCCTGAAATGTTTCTCCTATATGGGGATACCAAAAGTTATTAAAACTATCAGTTTTAATGGACGTGGATGTATTAATAAACTTTTTTAAATCAATTTTGCTCTCAATGGCAAACTGAACATAAAAAAAAGGTATTCCTTATAATCCTCAAGGACAAGTATTTTTGAGTGAGCCTATGGCAATCTAAAAATGCAACTTCAAAACTAAAAATAAATAAATAAAAAAGGAGGAGGAGTTATACCCCCAATCACCACATAATACTTTAAATCTTGTTTTAAATTTTTTAAATGTGGATGCTGCTGGAAAATCTGCAGCTGATCAGTTTTGGCATGAAGGCACCACCACAAAATTTGCTAAAGTTACATGGAAAGATCCTTGTACTGGTTTATGGAAGGGCCCCGACCCTGTTTAATATGGGGATGAGGGTAGGTTTGTGTCCTCTCACAGGATGAAAATGAAACTCATTGGTTGCCTGAATGACTGGTGCAGTGTATGGAGCAGGGAGATGTTGATTTTGATGTTGCTGATGACCATCCAGAGATGCCAGATTGGGCCTATGTTCCCGATCCACCAATTTTACATCCTGCAACTCAGAAAGGAAAAGAAATTGTGGTTGCAGTAAATGATACCAGGCTTTTAGATCGACCTTCCACCCAAGAGTTCCAGATTGCTTACCATTTTTCTTATATTGGATATGGTAAAGGGATTCCTGTATGCTTTTACAAAGTTATTGCTTCCTCAAGGTGATTGGATAAGTAATATTTCACCCCCCTCAATGATTTCCTCCATGCACAAAAGAACTGAGAGTGTCTAACAAAACTTTGCTATGGAGATGATATACTGGCACTGTTCCCTTAAAGTATAACATCATGTGACCACAGCAGTATATTCCCGATTGGTACAGAAATCAGGACGATTATAACAGAATCTTGGGACTAAGGACTGTCAGTTGGAATTTGGTATTTGAGTACTGGATCTCTACAAACTTATGGTTGGAAACTTGCTGCTGCCATGGGAACAGTGGCAAAAAATTCCAGTCACTTGAAACCTGTTTGTCCTTTGAAAAGAACTGTTTTAGCTTGTGTTAAAATGCACTATGTTTAGGGCTGGAACATGGCTCAGCAGTTTCGAGCACTGGATGCTCATCCAGAGGACTGGGGTTCAATTCCCAGCACCCACATGGCAGCTCATAACTGTCTGTAACTCCAGTTCCAGAGGATCCAACACCAATGCACATAAAATGAAGTTATATAAAAAAATGCGCTATGTTCTTTTAATTTGTGAAGCAAGTATTTCTATGAATGATTCTGTTTAATGTATCAAGTCTTAATTGTATTTTAACCAATTGTGTTTCTCAAATGGATAACCATACTCATGTAATAGTAGTGTTAAAACAACCTTCTTTTGTAATATTGCCAGTATATATGAGTGATCCATGATTTGATGATAAAAAGTTACAAGTGATTAAAGAAATGAACAAAGCTTTAAGCAGACAGAAGCATGTTGCTGGATTAGTTATAGAAGGAACTGCAGTCCTTGTTACTATGCTTGCTACTATTACTGTTGCTTCAATGCCTTTGTGTCAATCCTTCCAGACAGCAGGGTTTGTTAATCAATTGTCTATGAATGTTTCTATGACATTAGAGACTTAAGAAGATATAGATGTGAAAATGGAACATAAATTGAATGCTTTGTATGGTGTGGTACAATTTCTGGGAGATGAGCTCCAAGCCTGAAAACTAGAGTTTGAATGACATTCATTTGAAATGTCATGCTAATTATGAATAGATTTGTGTTACATCTTCTGTGTATAATGAAAGTGCTATTGGATGGGAAAGAGTTAAGGCACATCTTAAAGGAATTTGGTATGATTCTAATGAATCCTTAGATTGGTCTAAATTACATCAAGAGATTATAGACATGAAAAAGGCTAAATTGAATTTTGATGCAGTTAAAACAGCTGAAGATATTCTAGAACAATTCAAAAGGGCGATCCCTTCATGGTTATCATTTATTTCACTCTTAAGCAGTTGTTGTAGTTATTGGAGCACGTGTCTTAGTAGGCATAATCTGTTTGCTTATAATTTTCAAACTGATTTTGAATTTGTTATGGAGATTGGGCTCAGAACTCCACGGAGTGAAACTCCGCACATCCCTCTGACTTGACACCAGAGGCTGGTAGCCAAAGATGGGTAAGTTTTCTTTGCCTCCTTTCAACCTAAGACAGGACGTGAGTGATGGAATTCATGCTCCTATCACTGGTAAGATCGTAGCGTGGTAAGGAAAAACCTAAGACAGGCACAGTCACCTGAGCGACTCAGTGGAGTCTTAAAATAAAAAAGGAGGAATTGTGGGAGCCCACAACTGACTCAGTTTCCCAGTTTGAATCTGAAGTCTATTCTGAGTCAATAGTTTAAGCTTCTGTGCTCCAGGGCTGTGAGAAAGTCCTGATTAGCCAGCAGAGCCTCCTTGAAGGGCTGTGAGAAAGTCCTAGTTAGCCCACAGGAAGGAACACACTATCTATCTAGACACAGGCTGCTGATGCCAGCCAGAGGTACATCAAGATAGAAAATGAAACTGCCTGTTCCTTGACGCAAGGCAGGATAGACAATGGTTGAATGCCTGTGCTGTGCATTCTACCTCTGTCCTTCAAAACTGTACAGCTGGCTGTGAAATAAACTTAGGGCTGTCCAGCACTGACCGGCAGACCTCTCGACTCTTCTGTCTTCTTCATTGTCTCTTCAATCTGCATGCCTCTACCCAGCTGCCCAGCTGACTGTCGGCAGGCTCAGACAGAAATGCTGGAAATTGAACCAAGGAAACCTCCATATACCAGGCAACTGCTCTACCACTGAGGTGTATGCCCAGCCCATGTCACTATTACTGAATCTGAATGATAGTCAGAGTTTGGTTCATTCATTTCATTTAAGAATATGTGAGAAGAGCTTAAACAATATTAAGAATACATTACAAATAAAAAATAAGTATACTAACATTTATATACTATTAACATTTATATAACATATTAACATATATATATATATACTAACATTTAACATTACAATAAAGATTATATTTTAATTTACCTTTTTATTCAGTCTCTGGTTTTCTTTTTCAATTTTTAGGATTTTGGAAGTGCTGCCTTCTGCAGAGTCCATAGTACTCCGAAGCTCTTCTACAGTTTTTGTCAAACTTTGGTTTTCCATCTCCAACTTTAATAACTTACTGGATGTCAACTCATTTACCTCATGGCCCAAGGATTTCTGTGGTGCTGTAATAATGAAAAATATGTCACTGGTAAAACTATTTTTACTTTTTAATATTAAGAGTACCTATTTTTAATGTATCATGACACTTGATCTTTAACTTTATAAAAAATTAAATTATCTAAGATAGACACTATTAAACTAAATGAAACAAAGTCTTGAGCTTCTAACATACACAATTTAGCCTAAAGAGACTATAGAATTCTAATTCCATGAGAAATTACTTGGTAATGGCATGTCAATGAATCTTGGGTTAGTCTATGAATTACAGCTACTGCTCTGCAATCTTACAAGATCACCTTGACTCAAATAAGAAATATAAGGCATATTATAAATTTTTGGAGCAACTTCAAATATTAAAAGGCAGCTAAAGAAGAATCCTTATAAACGGTTTGAAGATCATATAATACATACTGCTCATATTCTAAATAAAGGTGTTAATGCTCAGCTTAGGAGCAAAGACCATCACCATCTGCTCTATTTGTCATGGTAAAGCATCTTTAAAAAATTTTAATTTATGTATGTATTAGTGCTCTGCCTGTTTATATGCCTGCATGCCATAAGAGGGCACCAGATCCCATTATAGATGGTTGTGAGCCACCATGTGGGTGCTGGGAATTGAATTCAGGAATTCTGGAAGAGCAGCCAGTGCTTTTAATCTCTGAGCCCTCTCTCCAGGCCCATCATTCTTGAACAACATCACTGTCAATTCAACCTGGATTAGATATTTTAACAAGAACAAAATAAGCTCATTTGGTATAATAAAAACTTTCCAATAGCAGTATCCATGGTATATTCAAATTATATATAACGATTTGATCTAGAAAATAGCTAAGTTTTATAATTTTCCATTATCATCACTGAAGAATATAAAAATTTGAGAATTATGAAAATTATTTGTTACTTCTTATTATTATTTTGTTTTTGTTTTTCAAGACACAGTTTGTCTTAAAAAGTTGTATCCCTGGTTGTCCTATGACATGTTCTGTAGACCAGGCTGGACTTGAACTCAGAAATTCACCTGCCTCTGCCTCCCAATTGTTGGGATTAAAGGTATGAGCCACGACCACCTGGCTTATTTATGTTAATATTAAATGTATATTTTCACATAATTTATTTTGTTTTCATGTTAATACAGACATACTTATTTTTAACTGACAAGTAAAATTTACATTTAGAGAATATATGATGTTCTAACAGATACATACACACCTGTGGAATAGCTAAATAAGATTATGAAAGATATATATTAGTTTAAGTATTTTTTGTGGTTAAAAAAATTAAATTTTACTCTATTAGCAATACTCAAGCATACAAATAAATGATTGTTATTAACTATAACCACTGATGCACAAAAGACTTCATGAACTTATTCCTATTTGAAATCTTGTGTCCTTTGTCTAACAGCTAATTTATTAGCCTCCATTAACAACCAGACTTTTAAAGATTCCACAAGATCATGTAGTATTTATCTTTTCACATGGTTCATTACATATAACATATATCCTTCAAGTTCATCCATGTTCTATCAAGTGATACTATTACTTTTACTTTTTAACAGTTTAACAATACTTATAGTACATATATTCTGCAATATTAGATAGCACATATCTGTGTGTATATGTATCTCACATTTTCTTTATTCATCTATTGATAGACACATTAATTCAGTAACCCGGGTGACTGTGAATACTGTTGGAATGAACATGAAAGTGCAGGTATCTTTCACAAACTTTCTGAATTTTGGCTATGCATGCTCCCAGGAGTGGGATTGCTGGATCACACATTATTTTTGTTTGTTTGTTTTGGTTTTTTTTTTTTTTGAAACCTGTTTTCCACATTAGCTATACCAATTTACACTGCAATAAAGAGTGTGCATTAAGTTCCTCTTCTCCACAACCTGCCAACACCAGTGTAATGACTAATTTTCATTTTGGTTATATTTGGAATCACCAAGGAGATACAGTTCTGGGTGTAGTTAAGGGTGAGGAGGAATGTGAGTGGTACCATCTTATTGGCTGGGGTCACAGGTTGAATCAAAAGGGAAGAGGAGAAAGGGAGCTGAGCACCAGGGTTATTCTCCCTTTCCTTCCAGACTGTGTATACAATGTCACTGTCTATCTCATGCTCCTGCATTGTGATTTCTTTGCAGGATGGACTGTACCCTTTTAAAGTCTGAGTGCAAACAACCCTGTCCTTCAGCTGTTCCATCAGATGGTCTGTCACGGCAGAAGAGTGATGTAGGTGCCTATCTTCCGTGTTTATAAATAGCCAGTTTAACAGTAGGGAGTACAGACAGACTGTGGGCTTTTCATCTCTATGATGATTAATTAATGCACTCAACATTTTTTATGTACTGTCATTTTTAAGAATGGCATTCAAGATTGTCCTCTGTCCTCTATATGTAGGTAAGCACACATATACAGGCTTTTTAATAGCAGAAATCTTATGTCTGAGCTGCTTTCTTTTAACTCAATTTACAGAACTGCAATAAAAGTTACAAATACTTTAAGTAAAACATTTCTATGAGTTTACTACTTATTATGTAGCCAGTACACAGGACACTAGAAGTTTATTATTAGGTTCTCAAGTATAAAATCAGAAAAACTTAATAGGTAATACATAGGATGAAGCATTTATCTGTATAAGTAATTATAAGCACTAGACTAGAAATTCTTTCAGAGTTTTTATCTACCTGATAAATATGTCTTCAACCCTTAGACACTAGAAGTTTATTATTAGGTTCTCAAGTATAAAATCAGAAAAACTTAATAGGTAATACATAGGATGAAGCATTTATCTGTATAAGTAATTATAAGCACTAGACTAGAAATTCTTTCAGAGTTTTTATCTACCTGATAAATATGTCTTCAACCCTTAGTATAGTGTGTTACATTTGGTAAATATTTAATAAATATTTGTTCAAGAACTCCAGGTAAATAATCTAATACGGTGTCATTTATGAATTATGGAACTAATCAAATTTTAATAAATTTATCTGGCTATAATTAACTAAATGTGTTAATAGCATTAACATACCCAATGCAAACAACTATAATAAATTTAATTTTTAATAAAGGGTCTAGCAAAAAAAAAAGAGGCACAAGTACGAATTTGTTTTCTAGTTTTTTTAAGACAGGGTCTGACTATGTAGACCAAATTCAGAAATCTGCCTGCCTCTACCTAGTTAGTCCTGGGAAAAAGGTATATGCCACCACATCCAGCAACAAGTTACTAATTTATCTAGTAGTCTTTCATTGTCTCCAGCAATGAATCAGCTGGCAGGTATGATCTTGAAATGGTTTTTAATTTATTTATTTACATTTATTAGGAAAACAGCCATAGCTGTGAAGATCCTTAACTTTCTTCTGGGTTTTTAGATTCACCTTTAAAATCTTCTTACTAGGGTTTTGAATTACTATATGTGTTCGTCTGTATTCAAAGAACATACTGACCAGATAAAATAACTTCTTTGTTTTATTTACTGGATGACTACAGTTCTCAAAAGAAACCAATATATTAGTGTTCCAGCTCTTGTGATAGTAACTTAAAATACTGCCTCGCTAACATCTAACCCTGTTAATGAATTCACAAAACTCAGGTTTTGCTTTAGACCAATCAAGACTGCACAACTATATACTTTTAAAAAGCTAAACATTGTCTACTGTATAATAATTTAATATACATACTAAATAAAGCTATCATAGAATTATTTGATACAATTTTAAACAGAAAAGGGTAGGAGATTCAGGTTTTTAAAAAGCCCCTTCTCCCAGAACAAATAAAATTGGGTTTTAAGCTGTAGAAAAGTAAAAATCAGCCGGGCGGTGGTGGCACACGCCTTTAATCCCAGCACTCGGGAGGCAGAGCCAGGCGGATCTCTGTGAGTTCGAGGCCAGCCTGGGCTACCAAGTGAGTTCCAGGAAAGGCGCAAAGCTACGCAGAGAAACCCTGTCTCGAAAAAACAAAAAAAAAAAAAACAAAAAAAAAAAAACAAAAAAAAGAAAAGAAAAGAAAAGTAAAAACCAGACCTAAAAGAGTAAAAACAAGATGTTACTTTGTGAGACAGAGTTTTTGGAGATAACTGGTAGTCTTGTATGATCTTTAGCTAGGGAAATAAAGAATTGCAACAATATATCCAGAAATATAAATAAAACTTCATTTATTAATCTACTTAATGAAACAAAATTGAGACTACCTTCAGCAAGTTCACTAGTTCTGGATATTTGTTCTAGTTCCCAGCCAAGATGTAATGACTCATCCATACTTTGTTTCTGTGCCATTTCCAAAGTCATATTTTCTTCCATTAATTCTTCAATCTTCTTTCTATCCATATCTCGTTCCTATTCAATTACACAGAGTAGAGAAAGAAACCTAATAGTGTAATTTCCATCCATTCTTCATTAATTTTTACACATTTTAAACTGAATATGTTTTTAGTTCCTTAAATTTTTCACATTGAAGGCAATACTTAGTTATAATCACCACTGATCATTACTGATCAGGTACTTGACATCCTTTCTAAATGATCTTTAAAACTTAGTTCTTTGAGAATTTTATACACATTTGGACTGCCTTCACTCCCCCTCTTTCAACTCCTAAATCTCCTCCCTCTTAACCACTTGCCCAAGACTGCCCCCCACCCCTTTAACCCCAATGAGTCCAATGTGTGCTGCCTATATATTCTTGGATATGTGGCCTTTTAAAATAATCTTTAGGGACAGAATGAAAAAATTCCTTCACACTCGGTATATTATTTTAGTCATCTAACAAAATTCTGGCCACGGCTGAATTTTACCTGACAGCTATAAAAGTTCTTCATTTTGCCGGGCGGTGGTGGCGCACGCCTTTAATCCCAGCACTCGGGAGGCAGAGCCAGGCGGATCTCTGTGAGTTCGAGGCCAGCCTGGGCTACCAAGTGAGTTCCAGGAAAGGTGCAAAACTACACAGAGAAACCCTGTCTCGAAAAACAAACAAACAAACAAACAAACAAAAAAGTTCTTCATTTTAAAAGACAAGCTTATAAAATAAATTTAATGTTTTTGAAAGACAAAAATTAATAAGGAATATCCATCTATAATTAAAACAGAAAATGTTACTGTATATTTATTTTATTTAATGGTGGAATATCTTAAGTTATGTAGCTATCTTGTCTATGTTTAAAGCTTTATTAAGGGCTCTACCCATCTTTGTCATTATAGAGAATTTAGCTGAATCATAGAATTCTTCCTCAGGAGCCAGGAAAACTGATCAATCCCATAAAACTTACCATTTCCATATCATGCAATTTAGCCTTTAGTTGTAAATTCTCTTTTTCTAGTTCATGTAATTTGTCAGAACGAGCTCGTGTTCCTTCTAGTTGGTCTTCCAACATGGTTTTTGTTTCTAATAAAACTTGATTATCTTCTTTTAATTCCTATAAGTATTTCAAATAGGCTTTTAGAAATGATTTTGAAATGTGCTAATATCTGTTTTTTAAATCTATAGAATATAAAAATTCATCAATGCAAATAAACACATTAAGCAATTCTTATCAATACTTTCATGTAAGAGTAAACCTACCTAGCAGTATACTGTTCATCTTTATTTTTTTGCTTCACCCACTTTCTAACTCCCTGCCCCAGAATTAAATATATTATGCATTCAAAAATACTTAAGCCTTTAGAATGAATACTACTACTGTCATTTCACAGGGAATAGATGGAATTTATTAAATGCCTTAGTCACAGGGTCAAGAGATAAAGTATAACTAGTCTCCATACATCTAAAAGACAAAGCTCTATAGAATTAACACTTATTTGAACTGAAATAGACAAGATTTTACCTCTACTGAGGAATAACTTGAAAGTGACTCATTTTAGGTCTTTACAATAAAAAAAAAATAAGATCAAAACTCACATAAATGATAAAACAAGACTCTGTCAACTTAATTTATTATTATTTTGAGACAGTCTTCCTAAATAGCCATCAAACGCAGCCTGTCTAGGAACATGTGACCCTTTTTGCCTCTACCTCTCATTTGTGTTGGGATTATAAGCCTACATGAGCTGCTGTAATCTTTCAGATTCCCATTTTCTTTCTTGAGACAGGGTCTCACTTATGTAGCCTGGCTAGCCTAAAACTCACAAAATTCGCCTGCCTTTGCTTCTAGAGTGCCAGAATTAAGGGTGTGTACCACTATACCTTCTCAAAAATTTCTTGTCTGAGAGCTGGAACATAGAGCCTTGTGCATGTGTGGCAAGATCTCCAACCCTGATCTCTAACTTCTCAGTTCTCATGATGTCAAATCAATAATTTGAGGAAATTCTTTTTATACAATTTGGTGGTGGTGGCCGTGTCAGAGCAGCTGCAGTCAGCAATGGAGCTTATGGAGTACAGCTATGACGGGTGCACCCTGGAAAGGCCAAGCTCCAGGGGTTTGTCTCCAGAACGCCCCTTGCTTCTGCTGTGCCTTCTCCTGCTTGCTGCTCTCCTGATCCTACTGTATTTGGCATGGTGTGATTACTATGTGAAAGGATCCCACTGTATCAAGTATAGCGTGTGAGTGTTTCATGAGAAAATCCCACTCTTCACTGGGCAATTTATGTGCAGGTCATAATGAAGATGATTTTTATAAAGCAATGACAGTTGGATCAATGATTTAAAGATACAGATGGTTAGTACAGTTAGTAAAGATGATTAGGGAATGGTTTAGGTTATTCTGCTAATTGCTCCAATAAAAGATACAAGAAAGATAAAAATAAGGCTGGAAGTCACCTTCCTTTTTGCTAGATGTGAGACTTGCCAAGGATGGAAAAAAGAACAAGGAAGTTTCATGCATTATAGATCCATGAATTCTGCCTGCATGTGGAAAAAAATGATCAAAGAAAGCAATTATGTCCCTAAACCCAAAGTTAAGTCTTGAGTTCCGTGGTCATGTAACTTACAGAATTAATCACAAGTTTCAGTGTGCACCTTGAAAAAACAAAGTTGTGAAAGGAAATTAAATGACCCTATTATAAGTAAAGAAAAACAGATGGTTAGTTATAACACTTGAGTAAAGTTTTGTAGAACAGAATAAGGATAAGAATTTGCAACACTGAAACTGCAAACAGCTGTCTACCAGTACAAAAGAACTGGTGGAAATATACCTGATTTGCTTAGAACTCTGTGAATCAATAATAAAGGAATCACTGCCTTGGGGTGAAGATGGTATGCTGAGAGAAGTAATACAAAGGAAAATGTTTAACTACATTCTAAGAAAAACTTGTAAAATGATTTCTTCCTGTGTAAAGATTTTAACTTGTTTTTGGAAAATATGTAACTTGTGGCTGTGAGGTGATTTCCTTCTTGTGTAGAGATTTTTGTCTGAGGTGATATAAAAGGTTGAAGAGAACAATAAAGAGAGAAGAACTAAGTTTTGCCCCCTCAGATAAGTCTCCTGTGTTTGTGCAGTCACCAATTCCACATCTCTCCAGTTTCTCTGACCTGCTGGAGCTGGACTCTGGCAATGTGGAAACATGTATTCACAATTTTATCTTGCTAAATAATATGTCTGTTGTTTATAAAGTCTAGAGAAAATACATTGTTCTACTGGGTTTTGAGACAGGATTTCACCATGTATTCCAGAATAGTTTCAAACAGTGATCTTTCCACCTGAGCATCTTGAGCTGGGGTTACAGGTGTGTACTATCATGCTTTAAGACTGCAATATCTATGAAGATCCCTTAGTATTAGCACACATGTACAACAGATATAATATAGATGCACATATTATATGCTTGTATATATGTATTGTGTATTTTATCTTAGAATCTTGCAGTTTCATTTATTAGTAAAATTCAGGCTAAATGTTCTATTTTTTCATGTTGAAATTACATGTCTTATTTGTATGTGTGTGGGTGCATCTACAGCACCCACACGGAGCTCAGAGGATAATTTGCAATGGTTGGTTGGTTCTCACTTTCCATCATATAGACCCTGGGATCAAACTCTGGTCCTGAGGCGTAAGTCTTTAATCCACTGAGCCACCTGGCCTACCCCTTCATGTTTTTATTTCTTGATTCCATATATTCTTTTTTTTTCTCATCCTCATACTGAAATGTAACAAAATCTCCTATGTTTACTGTAAGCAAGAATGTTAATAGAAACGAGGAAAGGATGTAAGGGCTATCAAAGTCAGACAAAAAAAGTGTTTTTTTCCTAATTCATTTGCATATACATAGCCTTCACTGATCTCAATATCCTAATAAAACAAAAATCAGAAAAATATTTTCCTTTCTTTCTGGGAGCAAGTTTGAGATTAATAGAGGTAAGTATTTTATTTTGATGGTAAGAGGTGGTCTTCAAAAGCCTCCCATGGTTACAATGATAAAAACTAGGTGGTGCAGGGTGTGTGTGTGTGTGTGTGTGTGTGTGTGTGTGTGTGTGTGTATGTGTGTGTGATAGTACTCCAAAGAATTCAATAAGATTTATGATATGTGAAGATGCCTTTGTAAAAATTGTCCATCTATTTAAAATAAGTAACTCAAAGAACTTAATGCTACCTCTAGATTCAATTCCTCTTGTTCATAAAATGCAATCTTTGAAAATCTTAACACTTTAAAAAAAAGCATGAATAAATATGCAACATACCTCAACTCTTGCCTTATAAAATTCAATGTCATGAAGTCTCTCTTTGTATCTGCTGAGTTCACTTTCAAGCTTATCCACTCGGACTGCCTTCTCTCGAAGTGCATCCAATTCATCTCGGTACATTCGAGCAGATCGAGCATCTGACAGCAAATTCATGTTCTAAATAGAAATATAAATAATGCTTTCAATATGAACTTTGCCCTTTAAACTATTCTTTGTTCAAACAGCTTCATTAATTTAACAAAAAGTAATAAATTATTTATATTTAAGAGGAAATTGTATTGTATATAAATAATAATTGTTCCTTAAAAATGAGGACACACTAAGCCTTTTCCTTAAACCAATTATAAGAGGTTTTAAATATATGTTTATACACAAATTTTTACATAGTGTTCTCTATTAGCAATGTTTTTGAAAAAGGAATTGTAAATTAAGTTAACCTCTACTTAACACAAAATTTACAATTAAATTTAAGGTTAAAAGTTAACTTTAGGGATGTCTAAGAGCTGTTAAGAACACTGCCTGCTCTTCCAGAGAACCTTGTTCAATTCCTACCACCAACATAGTGGGTTAACAACCCTGTAAGTCCAGTCCCAGAGGATCTGTCACCTTCTGGCCTCTAGGGGCACTGCACTCATGTGGTACTTAGACATACATGCAGGCAAAATACCCACACAAAATTAGTAATTTTTAAGAGTGTAACTTTAAAACACAAGATGATAAACATATAGAAAATCTAAGTGATATAACTAAAGGAAATTACTACTTTAGAAAAATATTTTTATCCACAGATGTAATTTACTAAAATTTAGCTGATATTTTTAAAATGCTTCTAAATAAACTAGCATTTAACTATTAAAATCCAATTTTTTAAGAAGTTCTGCAATCATTTAGAACAGAAGTCCTAAAAAATACAAAGCAATTCTGTGGACTTCTGAAACATTCCTAGGAAATGTATAAGGTCAAAACTATTTTCATAACAAACAGACATTATTTCTTTTCACTCTTATTCTCTTTGTTCTCTCATGATGCCACTGGCCTGCGATAGTTCACAGGTTTTTGTAACTACAGTTATTTCGTGTGTACATGCAGAGGTTAAAGGACAGCTGGCAGAAGCATCTTCTCTCCTTCCCACAGGTCCTAGGGACTGAACTTAGCTTATCAGGCTTGGCAGTCAGGGCCTTTCCCACTGAACTACACCTCGGTGGCCCATGTCATAACCGACTAGGAGTCTTTTATGTCAGGCATAAAGAGACTTGCAAAAATAAAAATAGTATTATTCTTCCCTCTATTAGTCTTATTTGTTTTAGAGGACCACTCCTTTGGAGTTAAAACAATCAGGTGCGCGCACACACCCACCCCTGTTATCAAGAGGTGGAATAAGAGCCAGAGCACATAAAAAATACCACTTCCTGGCTCATTCAGCTAGGACAGCCTCAGTTTATGATCTTGCATATAGTTTTTGACATTCAAAATAGCAGGCTAACGTAGGTAAGAGAAAGACATCACTGTGTTGCCTTACTCCAATCCTTGGTATTTATGGCTTGGATACTCAAATGAAAAACACAAGAAAACAGTGACTTAAAAAAAGTGAATTCTTTAAAAACAACATCAACACAATAAAACCTCTTGTTGTTACTAGTTTTTAAGATTAACAAATTTAATTATATAAAATAATGGATTTTACTATGACATTTTAGTTTTTGTTTGTTTGTTTTTGAGACAAGGTTTCTTTGTGTAACAGCCCTGGCTGTCCTGGAACTTGCTCTACAGACCAGGGTGGCCTCGAACTCACAGAGATCCACCTGCCTCTGCCTCCTAAGTCCTGGGAATAAAGGCACGCGTCACCAATGCCAGGCATGCTATGACACTTTAATACACGCATATAATTTGACCACATTCACCAGCCTCTTTTATTCTTATGAACACTATTCTGTCCCCTTTTTCTCTAACAATCCCTTAGAAAAAAATCTTAATACCCATGGTTCAAGAGGAAAAAAACCCAAAAGACTAATAAAAAAAACCATTTTATTATATATAACCTAATATAATCACTATGGTAGGGCAGAAAATTCTCAACAGAAGAAACTCAAATGGCTGAGAAACACTTAAATGTTCAACATCCTTAATCATTTGGAAATTCAAATCAAAAGGACTCTGAGATTCCATCTTACACCTGTCAGAACGGCTGAGAGAAACAACACAAGGGACAGTCATGCTGCTGAGGCTGTGGAGTAAAGGGAACACTCCTCCACTGCTGGGGAGTGCAAACTTGTACAGCTACTGAAAGCTATGGGAGTCCAGCTCCTCAACAGCCTTCACCCAGAGATGCTACTAGTGGCAAATCAATCTGAGGGATACTCTAATTAATCTGTTTATGAAACTCTTTAGTCCATACACTCTATTCTTCTGAGTCAGTTCCCTCTCCTCACAGCTTCATTCTGCTCTCAAGCCTAGCTTTCTTGCCCAATTTCTCTCTACATTTATCTATTGTCCCCTCTATGTTCTATCTTAATTCTCTCATCTTAGTTCTGCCCCATGCAGGTTCTCATCCATCTAGTTTTTTCCCATATCAGCTCCTCTCCCATCTTGTTCTTCTCCATCTGGCTCTTCCTCATCTTTCATCTCGTTCCTCTAGTCCTCTCTTCTAGCCCTTCAATCTAGTTCTTCCCCATCTAGCTTGTTCCTCTCCAGTTCTTACCCGTCTAGTTCTTCCATTCTCTTTTCTCTTCTCTGTCTAGTCCTCCCAAGTCTCTGAGGTTTACAGTTATATACCCATGCAATAGCAATGCTCTGGTTAAAGCAAGGTCACCAGGCTTGAATTCCCTCAGGGTCAAAAGACGAGGCAATAAGATCCACACAAAAGAGCAGTGATTGCCAGCCGTCATCTGCAACCCAAAAGGTAAGTGACTAAAAATGGGGAACAGAATCAACTGAGGGTTAAATTTGGTTAATATCTGAGCAAGGGGGATTTTATGCGCTCAACTATATTCTTAGAAGTGGTTTAAAGTGTTAGGAGTTTATCAGTGATGAGTGAAAATAAAACTGCCTTATTTTCCTTTGGCCCATATCTGTCCACACTATCTTGGCTGCTGCTTTCTGGCAGGGTGGGGGAGTGTATTCCTTGGCTGGGCAGCCTGATTCAGCTTGATGTACCTGTAAGTAGAAATTCTTTAGGTCTGAGTTAATAGTTAAAGGTAGATCTAAAATTAGAGATAAGACTTTGGAAGGGGAGAAAGTTAAGCTTAATTAGCACATCCACCAGGCTTTCTCAAACAGATAGTCTAGATGCTTAAGTCTGTTCTTAGAGAGTACAGAAGTATCTCTAATAAGATACTTTTGTCTATCCAGGAATGGTCCTGACTGGATGCTGCTAATGATAATAAATACAGGGAGGCTTGAACTGGGGTTCTGGCTATGTACAGCTGTCAGCACAGAAGGCTATCTAAATATTCCATTAGTAGAGGGGAAATGGTGCCCAATAAATGATGGAAAAGCTACAATAGCACATGATAAATTCATAGGAGGAAATGGCTGATAATCAAAAGCCAAATATCACCAAGGCTCTTTAAGCCTCGGCTTGACCTCTGGAAGGTCCTTGGCTTCTTCCAGGTATTAGCTTTATCATAATCAGCTGAAATCCTACTTCATGTTATTGCATCTTGCAGCATGCTGCCACTATGGAAGTAAGTGTGGTATTTCCTCAGAAATATGGGTATTGATTCACCTCAAGACCCAGCTATACCACTCCTGGGCATATACTACAGGGACACTCACTCAACTATGTACATAGCAGCTTTATTCATAATTGCCAGAGCTGGAAACAATCTAGATGACCCTCAAGGAAGAATGGATGAAGAAAATGTGGTACAGTTACACAACATACTCAGCTGTTAAAAACAAAGACATCTCATGAAATTTACTGGCAAATGGATGGAACTAGAAAAAAATCAAGTGAAGTAACCCAGACCCAGAAAGACAAACATGGTTATGTACTCACTCAAAGTAGCTGTAAAGTAAAGGATAACCATGCTACAACCCATAGACCCAGAGAGGCTAAATAACAAGGAGGACTCTAGGGGGGAATGTATGGGATCTCCCTGGCAAGGGGAAATAGAATCGATTTCACAGGTGGACTGAGGGCAGGTGTGGGTGGGAATAGGAAGGATTAGACACAGGGCACAGGTGGGAGGGTGGAGGAAGAGAATAGTGGGAGAGACAACTGGAATTGGGGGGCATTTGGGGAGGCATTGTGGAAACCTAGTGCAATGAAAAATGTCCTGGAATCTACAAGGTTGACTAGCGAAGACTCCTACTAATGGGGGATATGGAGCCTGAATTAACCATCTTCTGTAACGAGGCAAGGCTTCCATGGAGGGACTAGGACATTAGCCCAGCCACAAAACCTTTCACCTACAATTTGTCCTGCCTGCAAGATGTGCTGGGGTAATGGTGGCACAGAAATTATGGGAGTGGCCACCCAATGACTGGTCCAGGCTGAGACCCATGCTATGAGAGGGAGTCCACGCCTGACATTGCCTGGATGGGAGGGTATCAGAGGCCGGATAGCCCAAAGACCTAGGATAAAACCAAACATGACTGTCCCCCCTCCCAAAAAGTCAATGGAATGATTCCTAATGACATTCTGCTATACTCATAGACTGGAGCCTCACCCGATTTTCATCAGAGAGGCATCATCCAGCATTTGATGGGAGTAGAAACAGAGAGATCCGGAGCCAAACATTAGGTGGAGCTCAGGGAACCCCATGGAAGAGGGCGGGAAAGGATTGCAGCAGCCAGAGGGATCAAGGACACCACGAGAACACGGCCCACAGAACCAACTAAGCAGGGCTCATGGGGGCTCACAGAGACTGATGCAACAAACACCGAGTCGACATGGGTCTGAGCTAGGTCCTCTGCATATATGTTCTGGTTGTGTAGCCTGAGATTCATGTGGGACTCCTACCGTGGGAGTGGGAGGTGTCTGACTCTTTGCCTGTTCTTGGGAGCCTTTCTTCCTACTGAGTTGTCTCATTCAGTCTTGACGTGAGGGTATGTGCTTAGCCTTATTGTACTCTGTTATGCCATCTTCAGTTGATATGCCTAGGAGGACTGCTCTTTTCTGAAGGGGAACAGAGGAGAAGTGGATTTGGGGGAGAGGGACAGTGTAGGAGAGGGACTAGGAGGAGTGGAGGGAGGGGAAACCATGTTTGGGATGTAATATATGGGAGAATAAATAAAAATAAAACATTTTGGTGTTTATATAACCTAATATAATCACATGGGAGACTACATACAGACCCATAACAGCTCAGTTCAGTATACAGAGGTGCTTGGGTAAAACAGTGATAAAGGACAAATACATAAAAAAGAGGAACTTAGAACTGCCCCAGTCCAAAAGGGCTACTTTGAATCTCAGAGAAATTTGAATAGTAGGGACAAAAGACCTTGATTTCCAACTTTGGCTCTGCATGTTGATAAAGGCAATAAAAAGTCATCTGACTTTATACAAATATATGAGGTAACTGGGGCTTAAAGTATTGAGGTCATGGTTATAAATTACAATGAGACAAATCAATTTCCAATTATTTCAGCTACAATATAATAAAACTAGATAACACACCTCTTGTTGTAGCCTCTTCAATTCCATTTCTATTTGTTCAAGTTCTTGTTTACAGTCCAATAACTGCTCAGTCTTTTCTTCCCTTAAATGCAAAAAGATATTTATTAAAGAATAAGCATACTACTTCCAGAATCTGTGATCATCACAACATTAATACATGTAAGTGATTATTTCTTAACTAACTGAGGGCTGCAGATGGGTCAGCAGTTAAGAGTACTTGCTGAGCTTGCAGAGGACCCAGGGTTCAGTACCCAGCACCAACTTGTTGACTCTGAACTATCTGTAATTATAGTTCCAAGGAATCCACTGACACCTTCTTGCCCCTGCAGGTACCAGGTACACATTTTGTACATATACATGTTTGAAGAGAAGCACTCATACACATAAAATAAAAGTACGCAAAACATTGCTGGACAAGATGGCACCCACCTCTAATCCCAGCACTAAGGAGGCAGAGGCCAGCAGACCTCCATGAATTTGAGGCCAGTCTGGTCTATGCAGCAAGTTCCAGGGCTATACAGTAATATGCTGCTGCAGAACAAAAACCTAACTAAATGGAGTATTATCTATAACCAGAACACTTGGAGGAAATAAAAGCAAGAAAAAGATACTATGAATATATGACTAGATGTTATGAAACTTCCACCAATGATGTTAAAAGACCAATGTAATAACTAACGTCCTTATAGTTTATTACATTCTTTCTCTCTATCTCTTCATCTGTCCTACCGTAACTCTCTCTCCAACTCTGCATAATCAACAATTAAGCATGAATGATTTTTTATATAATACTGTGCATGAGGAATTCCTCATAAAGGAACTCCAAACTATTTTCTACATTTACAATGGCCTAAAGGAAACCATACACTTACTATTTGCCATACATATTGCTTAACACATTGTTATATACATACATAAACATACATAGATGTACACATATATATTGACACCAGGTCTCACTGTGTAATGCTGGCTACCCAGGAACTCACTATGTAGACTAGGCTGACCTCACAAAAATCCATGTCTCTAACTCTAGAGTGTTAAAATTAAAGGCATGCACTACCACGCTCAGCAATATATCTCAATTTTTTATTAATTTTTGAACTGCTTTATCTCTTATTTTTCTATAATTTTCCATCAGAGTTAATCTTCTCAAAGAAAGCCCGTATTTAACTATTTTCTGCCTTCTGTTGTCTAGTAATAAAAGGCACTGTATAAAGTAGCTTACTTTTATACATCCTCATGTTTCTCCCTGTGTTCAAAAACCACAAAATTGGCCGGGCGGTGGTGGCGCACGCCTTTAATCCCAGCACTCGGGAGGCAGAGCCAGGCGGATCTCTGTGAGTTCGAGGCCAGCCTGGTCTCCAAAGCGAGTTCCAGGAAAGGCGCAAAGCTACACAGAGAAACCCTGTCTCGAAAAACAAAAAAAAAAAAAAAAAAAAAAAAAAAAAAAAAAAAAAAAACCACAAAATTTTAAATAATAAAGATATTCCCTTTGATAAAAGAAATGTAATTTGCTAAGTTTCAGTTTTCCATATAGTAATGTTTTATTTAGAAGAGTCACTATAAAAATCATGTATTATATGCCTGCACATATTTCTAAAAGGAAAATATAGTCTTTAAGGTTCTTGATATCTACTGTCAAACTGCCCTGTTAAAAGAATATTAACATCCTGCTACTTAAATTTCTTATTTGTAAATTATTAGCTCCTATCTTTCCCCCCATTTATTCATTTGCTGAAGGAGGGAGGTTAAGTGTCATGGTGTGTGGGTGGAGGTCAGAGGACAACCTGAGTGAGAAAGTTCTCTCCTTCCACCATGTGGGTTCTAGGGTCCAAACTTAGGTTGTAAGGCTTGACTGCAAGCACCATCTTGATGGCCCTCTTATTTCTAACTTTCTGTTAGTTTGTCTTTTTATAGATCAGAAGTTACTGCTTTTGTCATTAACAAGACATTAGTTACATGCTACAACACCAATGAACTTGGAGGACATCATGCTAAACAAGAAGGCCACATGTAATATAATCCCTTTCTTTATATGAGTGTCAAAAACAGGCAAACCCAGGGAAAAACAACATATTAGCTATTGCTAAGATCTGAGGTAAAAGAGGACGGACAAAGACACTTTTATTCAATTATTGTGGTGATTGCACAATTTAAAAGCCCATTTAATTGTATACTTTAAAAGGATGAATTGTCAGATACTGAATTATATCTTACTAAAAGTATTTTCTTTTTTAATAAAATAATTAATCATTATATTAAAGAAACTCCCAAAATAAGTAATCAATGGTGATTCAAAGAACTGTTGAAAGAAGTCTTCAATAATGTCAATTATTGTATAAAAAGTTTAATTTATAAAGAATTAGTTATTCATTCTAATCATAAATTACACTTTTACTCTTTAAATCAAAATCAATTATACTATTTGGTATTACCCATAAATGAGCATGCATCAGTTAATAGTTAATACAAATTATATTCTAGTTATTTATTTTATAGTTTCCATTAGTTATAAAGCAATCTGGACCTTTTGTTTTTTTAAAATCAAGATCTCTGCTGCTAATCCACTACAGGAATTATCTGTTCCCATTAAAACAAAAGAAAGACTTAGTACATGCCATCTTAAGAAATATATAAAAGAACACATTTTCAAAAATATTAGATGGGATTTGGTGAAATGCTAGTTACTGAAAATACTTGCTGCATGCATCTGGTATCTTTACTCACTTAAAAGCATCCACTTATATTTTCAAATCATTACACATGAAAACAATTTTTGTCAATCTTCTAAGGTTGTTTGAATTTTTAATATATTCCAAGGCCAAGTAAATTCTATTTGAAAATTAAACTCTAATATAATGCAACATGGTAAATGAATTCACAGCCATCACTGCAGTTCTAATTGCATGCTTCATCTAAAGACTAGAGAAGATTGGGCTAAATTATATGGAAAGAACTAGTGTTCACTGTTTAGGCTATCCATTAGCTGCCAGTCAAACTAATAACAGCAATCTCTTCCCTAATTTTCCTGGTGCAGCTGCTTATAGAATATCCTGGGTGTGTTCACTTCAACAGACACATAATAATGCAGACATCCACAAATGAAAGCTGTATTTTTTTTGTTTTCAAATTTTCCTACAGACTATTTAATGCTTTTTCTACCTTGCATATCCAATTCACTTTTCTAAGTTACTTTAAATAATCAATAAACAAAAGTAATTACTATCTTGTGTATTTAAATTTAAAACCTACATTCTGAAGCTAAAATTCCAGGAAAACAAATTTAAAAAAAAAGAGAGAAAACCCATAAATCCAAAATCCTTTATTCTCCTTAAAGTACAAAATACAAAATCTTCAGCAAAGATTAGTCATGCTTTTACTGTGGTTCACCCAAGAATGAATATGTAAAATTTATATTCTATTTTCTGTAATGAGCTTTAATAACTTAGTAAGTACAATTTTATCAGTACTAATAAAATCTGAATATTTTATTAAGTAGAACTGGCACTTCAATGACTTAATGCAGTTGATACACATAAAGTTATTTCTGTAATATTATATGTCAACAATTCAGTCTTTGAAAACATTGTCATTATTACTATTATTCAGGCAGGGCTTCATATAGCCCAGGCTAAGCTCAGACTTACTTTGTATCTGAGGATGATCATGAACTGCTGGATTGTCCTGCTTATACTTGAGTGTTAGGATTATAGGCAATTTTTTTCTCATTTTGACAAATACTAATAAATAATTTGATTTAGGTTAACAACAGAGGACAACTGGTCTATTATCAAAGTTAAAATACTGCTAAAGTCATCTTTGTTACCACATAATTTCAATGAATATTGAAAGTGAGGGACTTACAATTCCTGCCTCAGTCTTCGGATCTTGGCCTTAGCATCAGCCAGTTCCACTGAGAGGTGCTGTCGACTTTCTGTTCGCTTCATGCCAGGAGAACCACAGGGTGACTGTGCAGATGAAGAGGCATGCGGTAGAAAATGAAGACCATCTCGCTCTTCAGAGAGCTCTACGATAGTCTAAGAATTACAGGGGTAAACACAGAAACAGTTTTAGTGTTCCACACGTCAGTAACCTAGACACAGCAACACTAATCACTGAACATTCTATAAAATAAAACAACTCATTGATTAAAAGCATCTCAACTCTGCCAGGTAAGGTGTGTAATCCCTGAATCCCAGCACTTGGGATGCACAGACAGAGACAGTAGATCACTGTGAGACTGAGGCCAGCCTGGTCTACCTCGTGAGTTTCGGTTCAGCCAGGGCTACATAGTGAGACCTTGTCTCAGAAACAAAGAAATAACAATAATGAAAACTACATTTTAACTTTGTCATATTGGCTGTCATTTCAAGTTTTATTCAACAGTTCATTGTTGTAGAATATTATTTTAAGGTATGTTACTTTTGTTTATGCTCTGAAACATTTGTTTAATGATGCAAAGCTGTGTTACATTTGTTTGATTAAATAAAATTCACCCGAGGTCAGGAGGCTGAGTAAGCAACTAGCTGACAGGAAGTGGTAAGAAGGAGCCAAGCAGAGAAGGGATTTTAAGTAAGGGTGAAAAAAAAAAAGCACAAGGGCTTTTTGGAGGATGCAAGCAAGGAGAGGAGGTGAGTTACTTGCTAGTCAGCCTCTCTGAAGAACAGAATTCCACCTTAACCTTTGAATCTTGAGTTCTTTAGAGGGACAGAGATTTAGTTAAGTTCCCTTTGTAGCTCTGAAAGAGTCGGAGCAGGATGGAACAGATTTCCTTCAGGCCTCGGCTCTCAAGGCCTAATCACTGCTGGTAGTAACGGAGTTGCTGATTCAGACAGCGGTGGCTTAAAAGGCAGCAACAATTTTTTTAAAAAAGGACAACAGGTATTTAGCAAATTAACACAGAAACATGTCAATGTTTTTTTTTCTCTCCCTAGATTTTTTAATAAAAGAAATCACATGACAAAAGAATAAGATAACAACTGCTGGAAAGGCATAAAAGACATGCTGACACAGGAAAGAAAACCAGAGAGTGATTTGTCTAGAACTGTGCTATCCGATTACAATAGCAGCAACACAAGTGGTTATTTAATAAAAATTTGAACAGCTCAAAATTCAGTTCTTCAGTCACATGCGCTAGGTTTCAAGTACAAAACAGGTATCTGTTGCTAGTTGTTACTATACTGGACAGTCTAGGAATATAATCTTGTCATCACTGCAGAATTAGACAATACCGTTTTATCATTCTTTTTTTTTTTTTTTTTTTTTTTTTTGGTTTTTCGAGACAGGGTTTCTCTGTGTAGCTTTGCGCCTTTCCTGGAACTCACTTGGTAGCCCAGGCTGGCCTCGAACTCACAGAGATCCGCCTGGCTCTGCCTCCCGAGTGCTGGGATTAAAGGCGTGCGCCACCACCGCCCGGCCCGTTTTATCATTCTATAATCCTAGAGGAAGCAATTGCTAGAGAGAATAAGATCTTTTTTTTTTTTTTTTGGTTTTTCGAGACAGGGTTTCTCTGTGTAGCTTTGTGCCTTTCCTGGAACTCACTTGGTAGCCCAGGCTGGCCTCGAACTCACAGAGATCCGCCTGGCTCTGCCTCCCGAGTGCTGGGATTAAAGGCGTGCGCCACCACCGCCCGGCCCGTTTTATCATTCTATAATCCTAGAGGAAGCAATTGCTAGAGAGAATAAGATCTTTTTTTTTTTTTTTTTGGTTTTTCGAGACAGGGTTTCTCTGTGTAGCTTTGTGCCTTTCCTGGAACTCACTTGGTAGCCCAGGCTGGCCTCGAACTCACAGAGATCCGCCTGGCTCTGCCTCCCGAGTGCTGGGATTAAAGGCGTGCGCCACCACCGCCCGGCGTGAGAATAAGATCTTAAAGGGAGGTCAGATGACTGAGGCACAAAGATTGTATGCTTACACAACTAGCTAATAGTAATGTTGAGACTGCATGGTAGCCCATCCACTGTTTATCCTATGTTCCATGTTTTATAATACTGTACTGCTTCCCATATCAAAGCTTCCCCAATCCTTTCTCCAAAGACCCTCAGTGGGGCATAAACCTTTATATTTTCCTAAATTTCAGCATTATGGATTAAGTATGTAGCCATCCTACATTTTCTACAACTGTGTTGCTCCACTCTTCTAATTTTCCTTTTCTTTACTGGTAAATTATTTTATTCTAAACCATTTTTGTTTGTTTTACTTTAAACTTTCTCAGGCAAATGAACTTATCTTGTAAGGCAGCTTTAACTGTCCACCCAGACAGAATGGGTGGCATTACTACGTTGGGACCAGGAAATCATCATATTCCTTATCACCAAGTCTACTGTGGGAGGCCAGTTCCCACCTTTTACAGGGTTCCTAATAAGGAATTAGTAGATAGAAAGATAGCAGAGATGAGACAGACAAAAACACAGGATAGCTTCGGGAGGACCCAGGTCAATACCCAATGGGCCCTCTGTCTCTTCAAAAGGGCTTTTTATAACAATGCCAAGGGGTGGGGCAAAAGACCTCCCACTTGCTAGATCAAAGCACACCGCAAAGCCAAGTGCAGACCTTTCCAAATACCTGGTAACCACGCCCGATGTCCAATCATTCCCTATGAAGCTCTGCTGGGTAAAGCAAGCTGAGATCTCACTAGGAAACCTCTGGGCTCCCACAGTCTACCCTCATCATTTGTTTTTTATTTAAAAATTTAAAAAAGATTTGTTCATTTTATTTTAGATGTTAATGTTTTGCCTGAATGTATGTGTACCATATGCATGCCTAGTGCCCATGGAAGTTAGAACATGGCACTGGATCTCCTGGAACTGGGTGCTATAGATGGATGTGAACCACCATATGGGTGCTGAGGCTCAAACCTGGATCTTCCACAAGAGCAACAAGTGCTCTTAAATGTTGAGCCATCTCTCTAACTACATTTTTTGTTTTGTTTTAACCACATAGCAGGATTTATTTTTTTCATCTTTGGGAAATATTTCAGCATCTCTGTCTTACTGCTTTAGTAAACTTCAGAGAGTACTGTCCAAGTTCAACATCTCTCTACAACTCCATGTCCACTACTTAATCAATAAATACAAGTTTCTCCATTAAAAGAAATCAACTCTTTCATAGTATGTTTCTTTTACTATCATTGCTCCTATGTGACCACACCTACTCTGGAACCTTTTTATCACTCAACTGCATCTTTTGGACATGCAAGAGATTATTTCTAACTACTCTAGAGTTCCTACAGTCTGTTACTACAGTTAGGCTTCTTATGAGTCTTTTTCCACTTTTAATTTTAAAACTATCAGTTTATTGTCTGACAATTACTTACACCTTTTTCCCTTAATATTCTCCAACAAGATCTCATTTAGCAGTGTAATTTTCATAAAGGTCTATATTAGACATAAGAAACTGAGAATTTTATAGACCAGTGTAAACCAAAGTCACACAACCAATTATGGGTACTACAGCAATTAAATTTCAAGTTGACATATGTATTTTCAATGTGCTTTTTGTAAAAATGCTACAATAAATTTGCTTTATGTATATTTTTACAAAATAAAATTCAAGTTTGACTATAGCCATATTTTTTCCTGGTTTTCTTCTTTGATTATTTGTTTGTTTGTTTTGAGACAGGGTTTTATGTAGCTCAGGATGGTCTCAAACTTGATGTGTAGCCAAGGCTGGCTTTGAACTCCTGAACCTCCTACCTCTACCTCCATAGTTCTGAGATTACAGGTGTACACTACCACATCTGACTTTTTGATTCTAGTTCTAAAGTAATAGAACTTGAAGAGTCCTAGATCTTACCATCCATTTTTTTTTTTTTTGTTTTTTTTTTGTTTTTTCGAGACAGGGTTTCTCTGTGTAGCTTTGGAGCCTGTCCTGGAACCCACTCTATAGCCCAGGCTGGCACTGAACTCACAGAGATCCACCTGCCTCTGCCTCCTAAGTACTGGGATTAAAGGCGTGCGCCACCACTGCCCGGCTTGCCATCCATTTTTAATGAAGCTCTCTATACCATGCAACGGATAAATTATTTATTTTGGGGCAAATTGTCCCATAAAGACTTTGTAAATGATTTCCTTTCCTCTGTTTAAGCTTCCAACTAAAAACTGCTAACATTGCTTTTCAACCAATGACCTCTTATCCAACTAATCACCTAGGACTAGCTGCTTCATTATTATATTTTTCACTCAAAACATATTCTGCATATCCTTATACTTTTCCTTCTTTTTCTTCAAAGATATGTACACAGCTTCGATGTTAAAAGAAAAGAGAGAGAGAGAAACACCAAATTCCTTCCTTGCTACTTTTGAAGGTGACTTTACATGTTCCTACCACACACCTGTCCTCCCACCCAGCACATCCCAATTTCCCTGTCTTTATGGATAATGCAATGTTACTCTCCATAGCAGACGAAGGCTCCGTTTCCAGAGTCAACTTTATTTTCATTTTCCTCTTGTCTTAATTATCTTTAATTTTGCTAACATTTTCTGGTTTTAACAACAGTACCTAGGAAATAATATTTAACAAACATTTGGTTCCTACACAAACTGATTAGTACCTAATTATATACTAACCTTCATTTTTACTTACAAATAATGTAGTTTTTTCTCAATAAATCAGAAATCATCTTTGTTACTCCTCCTCCCTTTTATCTTTCATCCTCTCATCCAGCATAGTATGACGCACAAAAAGAGGTGGTGAACATATTTCACTAAAGTAACACACAAGTAATGCAGAACCAAGAAAAGAACAGCTGTCCATGGTGGTGTATGCCAATAATCAATGGGTCAGGGCAGCCTGGGGCTATACTTTATATAAGGGCAAAGCCAGAAATTTATATAAGGTATATCACAACAAGGCTTGTGACAGATGAAACTTAAAAATATTTGGTGAATGTATGGTTAAGTTGGCTGTTACTAAAGAGTATTTAAAGAAATTCCCATGGCTGGGCAAAATGGTACATGTTGTTAATCACGGCACTCAGGAAGCAGAGGCAGGTGGATCTCTGTGAGCTCTAGGGCAGCCTGGTCTTTTCATAGTGAGCTCCAGGACAGCCAGAGTGAAACCTATCTCAAAAAAAGGAAAAAGGAAAGAAACTTCCAAGGTCACAATATATAATGTACTAATATACAAGCAGGACATAATTCTCTATGTTTAAAGCAAGGTCTTCTTTAAAAAGTGGTTTATTTTTACTAACATTTACATATAAACTGGCTTAATGAACAAATTTTGTTTTATCAAGGTAATTTCTTGTGTTTTCCATTGAATTTTACATTTTTATTACTTAGAGAAAGCAAATCTTAAAAGGAGCTTTAATCCTCTGACTTTAAAACAGAGAATTTAATGATTATTTTATGACTTTGGTTAAATACATATTGATTATATTTGCTGCCTTTATGTCTATAATTATGGATGCATATACATTTGAGGGCTTAATATGCAATATACCTAAGTTTTGCCTAAATGTCATGGAAATTTTGTAGTTAGAGGAACATAAGTTTAATATATGCAAAGATAAAGTAAGTGCTCTTTTTATAAAATATGAATTGCATCTCGATCTGAAACAGCCCGAAAGCTCTTGGGTCTGTCTTCCAGTTGTATTTATTACCATTCAGATAAAAGGACTACATTATTTGGCTAGTACTGCTATTTGAAACCCGGTCTACATGTGTTTGCTTTAATTAAATGTTTTCCGACTGTATATGCGAAATGTACTTGTTCATCAAGTACTAAGTTATTTATGGCTGACTACTGCTGTTTTCTAAACTTGTAAGAGGTCGAAACCTATAACGATTCTAAATTTCTCCTTGATAGTTTAAGCTAAGTATACAAAAAACTTCTGTACGTTACTGCCTTTTCCTATACTATGTTCCTCCACTATACATTTTTTCTAAAATACAAATTTTAGAATACTTTACCAAGTTGGTATCAACTAAAAATTATTAGTAATGATAAACTTTTCAAACTTACGTGTATTCCCAATTGTATCACAATCATCATTTTGCATAGAATTAAACATATCTAAGTATTTTAAACTTCGAGCAGTTAGACAATGGTCACCGGGAGGCCTGATAATAATAATGTATGTAATAACACTAAAGAGACTTTTGTAAACTGCTAAACTTTCTTTGGTTATAACTGTTGACTGTTGATATTCTACAGGAGTTTAATTTTCAAAGCAACCTGAGCAGTAGTCTGAGATGCTAGAACATCACATAAAGAGTAGACGAAGTTATGTTTAGAGATAGAGTGCAGGTAAACTCAGCCTAAGGCCTTTCCTCGAAATCTGTCAGCTGTTTCAACGTGACCAATGAGGTCTCTGGGACAGGCCTGGCTGCTCACACCGAAAATCATGGCACTTGGGAAGTGGAAGCAAGAAGAGGAACTTGTGGTCATCCTCAGATACATGCTAACTTTGAGATCAGCCTGGGAGATGGGAGACCTCATAAAATAATTTTAAAGAACAAAACAAAAGCACTGACTCCCTAACTGCTTGTCACCTCCCACACCAACTTGGGATCAGATGGGCAACAAAACCAAGAAATTTATTTACCAAATTCTTGTGCTTCAAGGCAATTGTTTTTCCATTCACATCAACTATATATTCAGTCACACTTCTGCACTACTGACAAAGTAATGGGGTGACTTGAAAAACACACAGGTACAAAAATCAGAATAATAATAATTTAAAAAGAAAAAGAGAAAAGACCTAATAATACTGTGCTTATTAGACATCCAAGGTTCTTTTATTTCCTTTCTAATTCCTGTGTTTTACACACGCACACACGCACGTGCACGCGCGCGCGCACACACACACACACACACACACACACACACACACACACCAAACAAAAAAACAATAACAACAAAAGAAAGACATTATAATTGGTACAGCATGTAGATTTCACATCTGCAAATTAAACCAACTGTGGATGGAAAGTAATAAGGGGGAAAAATCCCTGTTTGTATTGCACAGGTACAGGCTTTTTCTTGTTACCAATTTTTAAAAAATACAGAATAACAACTATTTGTCTATTATTTACATACTATTCATTATTATGGGTAATTAAAAGATGATTTACAATATACAAGATATTTGTAGTTTTATAAATAAACACTGTAAACCCTCCCACCCCCTTTTTAAAAGAGACTGAGCATTCATGGCTTTAGTATCCTTTTTTTTTTTTTAAAAAGGTTTTTGTGACAGAGTTTCTCTGTGTAGCCCTGACTATCCTGAAACTCTTTAGACCAAGTTGGTCTCGAACTCAGAGGTCCGCCGTCCTGGAACTGCCAAGTACTAGGATTGATTGTAGTATCTTAAGAAGGTCCTAGAACCAATATGCCCCACAGATACCAAAGGATGATTATAGTTGATTACCTATCCCAAGAAACAGGGTATCCATTCTAGAAAACTATTTTTTTTTCTTTTAAGAAAGCAAACTTCCATAACACAATGAGAGAACCAACCTCTGAATGCTCATCTCTCTCATCTATCAGTCTTTTTAGATGTGATACCATATTCTTCAAGAGTGGTTCTATATCTTCCTGAGACATATCTGTCACCTCCATCCATTGCAGATCAAACACATTTTCCTGATTATGAGTTACCTTTAGAGAGGAAAGCAAAATAAACAATCGAAGAATGGCTAATACTTAAGTATTGATTTGAGTTTAGTATAAAATTAGTTCAACTATAAAAGCAGAAAGAAGATTTCAAATTGATGACAAAACTAAACATTTTAACAGAACAAATAAATTCTCATCTGGACTCTGAAGTTAAATAAGGGAAAAAGATGATATAAGAAATACAGTCATCTGAGAATATTTTAAATACTACCAATTTTCACAATTTTAAAATTCTCTCCTAAAAGGTAAAATTTAATATATAGCATAATTCTAAAAAGACATTATAAGATTTAAAGCTCATGAGTAAATAGTTATGGAAGTAGAAGCTTTTAAAATAAATTTTAATTAAAAATTACATTAACATCAATATTGACATGGTACATTATGGCTCAGATTTGTTTTTATACGAATATTTTTTAAAAAAAAATCAATGTATTTGTGGAATTCAAATAACAGCTCAATAAAAATGACCATTCATTTAAGAGAAAAGTCCAATAGACTAAGTTTATTGTCTTTATCCCTATCATTCATTCTGTGCTACCTAATAAAGACATAAACGTTATTCCTCAACATTCATGTCCTTACGACAAGAGAGAGATGTGTAGTAAGCATTGTGCCATACATAAGACAATTCACTGATGGGATTACCTATCTCTAACAAAAAGAAACTTACATAAAAGTAAGGTTGATTTACATCTGATCTTTAATTGTTCTTGTTTATCCTGTATTTGGGGAGATAATATTTAAAAAACACACTGCAAACTTCATAAAAATACATTAAAATATATATAAGTAGTTACCTCTTGAATATGTGCGGCAACTGCTGCTTTTGTATCAAAATCTAAACCTTGAATTCGTTCGATAAATTCTTCCTTTTTCTGACACTGAAATAAATGGAGGGGGATCATTCAGACTCTGTATTGCCCTTACAATGCTATATATAAATAAGCCTCAAGCTTGACAATATTTCACCAGCACAGTAGGGTTTTGTTCTACATTTAAACGACTTCTCAGAGAACTTACCTAATGAAGATACAATGACTTTAAAATATTTAAGAGGCAGGCACTGAACTCTACAGTTTTATGCTGGAAAGTTCTGAAGTAGGAACATATTACACTGCACATCTGAGGTCAGGATATTATTATGCTAACTTAACAAACAGAGAAGTAAAGAATCAAGAACTTGTTTCAGAGAGAACAAGTTACTTGCCAAAACCCACAGTGAGTCAGTGGCAGAATTCGGAATACTGCCAAAACGCTCACTCAGTCCCTGACTGTCACCAAACAACACTGCCTTTCTTCTTGTTGAAAAAAAATTCGGCAATTTTTATTTCAAGCCTACAATTTATTCTCTCATATTCAGCCTATCAATCTTAATAAAAGAAACTAACTCTGATGGCCCAGGTCAACATTTATAAAGTAATACAATATATATCTGGTTTGTTTCTACTCTAATAAAGTAACCAGGGGCAAAATTTAATAATTATGAATACACATGTAATCAAATAGGAATAAGGCAGCAATTCCTTACTGTCAACTTTTTAAAGTTTTATTTCAGCTAAGAACATAAAATATAAACCTAACCTTTCCCCAATAATAATTAAATAACAACACACATCGTCATCTTTGTCTGTCTCCATCTTGTCTATTACAATTCAACTGCTAATACAACTGTATTCTTGCAGCTACCAAATGAGAGGTGCATACAAATGGACAGCACTGCCTTGTGCCAAGCTAAGATGCATCTCCTGGGCCAATTACAGAGCCAGTGAAAACAATAAACCCTAAAGAAGAAAAACTGGCTCTTTGATCATTAAGAAACAAACCTCTGATTCAAGCTAGTTAAGTTGCTAAAGCTCTATTTCTGTCATGACACAACCTGAACATACTCTATACTGTCATTCGGAGTTCTACATCCCCGTCAAAACTAAAGTACTGTTATGATATAAAAATGTTTAAAGTAAATTACCAGGAAAACACAATTCCTAGGTATGATTAGGAACTGAGGAGTTTTGGAGGAAATGGAATAGGGATCAATAGGCTGAAAAACACTAACTTTTTTTGGTCTAGAAGTATTAAATAGGTCTGTAAGAACAACTGAGAATTAACTTTCTAACTGTATATTCACAGCATATGTAAACTAGTTTTTCAGAGACAGCAATCCATTTCTGTAATTACTGACTTATGAATAATTTTTTAGCCAATCAGAACATAAAATGGCAGGGTTATTATGAAATGTAATAATTAAAATTCATCCAGAGTACCCCAGTTCAGCCATCTTATGGTTTTTCTGCTAGTTTTTTAAAAGAAATACACATTTTCTTTTATAAGCCCCACAAGCCTCTGTTTCTCACTAGCACTACCTTGAGAAACTCACCATTTATACAGTGTAATATTCACCAACAAAGGTTTTTTTTAAGCAAATGCAGCATATAGTAGTTGTAAATGATAAAAATAGTGTTTCCAGCCGGGCGGTGGTGGCGCACGCCTTTAATCCCAGCACTTGGGAGGCAGAGGCAGGTGGATCTTTGTGAGTTCGAGGCCAGCCTGGTCTACAGAGCGAGATCCAGGAAAGGCGCAAAGCTACACAGAGAAACTCTGTCTCGGAAAAAAAAAAAAAAAATAGTGTTTCCAACTAAAGACCTGATGAACAAATTAGAATAGCACCAACAACAGACACCATATTTATCTTAATATTTAATCAGTTGTTAAGTAAACAATCATGTACAACACGTGATAGAAATGTAATGACTTAATTTATATATGAACACTGTCCCCATAGTGGTTACTAGAGGCTAGAAAGGGTGTTAAGAAGAGGAAGATGGTGAGAATACATTAGATGGGGGTGGGGGCTGCTAACTGATACAAGTATACAGACAGACGGACAGGATGATAACGTATGTCATATATAGTACAGTAGGATCCTTATAGTAGACAACAATTAACTGAGCATTTCAAAATGACCAGTACAGAGGATTCTGTATGCCCTTAAAACAAAGAAATAATGTCTTGAGGTGGTAGGTATACCACTCATGTTTAATTACTTCACGTAAATTAAATATTGTATCTCCAAAGCAGTAAGCTCTAAAAGCCAACACAATCAAGAATATAAAATGTATGTAAATAAATGTGAAATATTACTAGTGAACTTATTTGTTTGTTTACAAAAATCTCATTTCATAGGCTGGGTACATAGCTCAGCTGGGAAAGTGCTTTCCTAGCATACACGAATACAAAGGTTCAATTCCCAGCACTGTAAATGTTGGGTATGGTGGTGCATGCCTGTAATCCCAGCATTGGAAGATGGAAGTAGAAGAATCAGAAATTTAAGGTCAACCAGGCTGAATAACAAGTTTGAGGCCAGTCTGAGATACATGAAACCCTGTAAACAAGCCCTAAAACAAAACCCAAAATATTTCACTCTATGAAGAGCTAGAATAACTGTACATTGAAATAATCCATTCTTTAAAAAAGTAGTGGGCTTCAGATATAGCTCAATGGGTGGTAAAATATTTGCCATACAAGCGTAATAACTTGCTGTCGGAACCCTGGATGTGGTAAGGTGTTATCTGTAATCCCAGTGTTCTTACAGAGATTGTAGGCAGAGACAGAATTCCTGAAACTAAAAAAACTGCTGGTAGGCACAGGTGAACAATCTCAACAAGGTTGTTCTCTTTCTTCCACAAGTGTGTCATGGCATGTTCATGTACATGCACACACACGCGCTTTTAAGTTAATTAAATGGAAAATCTAGTATAGTAGATTTGGAAGTCATGCCAGTGTTCTTTGGCCTACTAGCAAATTGACCTAAACCTAAAGTGACTATCTCAATTTGTTGCAGTTACATATGCTCCCACTGTAATTATTAAAGTAGCATACTAGACTCACAAATATCCAACTTCTAAAATAACTTAAATATTTACCCAAGCACTAATCTTATTTGAGAATTAAGAAAACCTTTATAAGATATAACACCTGGCAAACTATACAGTCAATAAATCTTGGCTATCATTATTGATACGGACATCTATAAAAGAGCAGTAAGACTGAGAATATTGTTAGGAAAGTGCTTGCTGGGTGCATTGGCATGAAACTAATTCCAATGCTGGGAAGCAGAGACGAGAGGATCCCTGGGACCTGATGGTTGGCTAGCAAGTATAGCTGAATCAGGGAGTTCTAGGTTCAGTGAGATACCCTATCTCAAGAAATAAGGTGACTGACACCTGGATACTGACCTCTGACCTTCACATGCCTACATGCATACATGTACAGTCATGTACATAAACAAATAACACACACAAAAACATTTCCCACAAACTCTCTCTTTTTAAGAATATTTTTATGTGGAAGAGAGTCTGCCTGCATGTATGTCTGTGTGACATGTGCATTCCTGGTGCCCACAAAGGCCAGAAGAGGGTGTTGGGAGTCCATGAGAGTGGAGTTAAAGACAGCTATGAGCTACCATGTGGGTGCTGGGAAACAAGCCTGGGTCCTCAGGAAGAGCAGTCAGTGCTCTCAACCTGTTGCTTCAGCCCCAAATCCTCTCTTAATTGTTAGTCCCTCCTCTTCTCCTAAAACATAAGCTTGCACAAGCAAACCAGAAGAGGGGTTTGGCAGATGCTTCCAACTTCAGAGGCATAAAGATCTGAGTCATCAGACACATCTAAATAGGAAAAAGTTAACTAAAGGTTTTTAATACATGACATTGATGCCATAACTTTTGAAATAAAATAAATGTTCTTATACATAATTTCTTTTTAAAGTGATATACTTAAAATTATCAAGTCTTTTAGAAAACTAGATAAACCCTCAAGAACATGTTATAAGAATGAAAATATGAAGAAATGTTTTAACTTACCTGAACTGCACAACCCAGTAAGAGTAAAAGCAACTTCTTAACTTCTTCTGTGCCTTGTTCTGAAATAAAAACACTAGTAAGTACAGCATTTAGCTTTGTTTCAACTCTTTCAAACACTGGAACAATCTAAAGGCAATCACAACTTGACAAAAAATGAATTTTGTATATAAACAATGAAATTTAAATATGTGGCTTATGTGTGTATAATGTGGTGATAGCAGAGTTACAGTGCAGATATACAGGCTTTAAGCTAAGTGTGCTCACTGCATCTACTCCTTTTCTAGAAATCATATTATACCAACACTTAAGATTGTGCTGATATTAAGAACATGCCAGGGTTGCTGCTAATGGATCTGCTCCTCTTTAGCATTTCCTTACTAAAATACAAATATTATGGCTCATCTACCCATACAATTTAAATATATTTCTCATTGCACAGGTTCATAAAGATCAGAACCTTAAATGCATATCACAGTGAGTCTAATACAGTAAGCTGGGTATGTTAGTTCACACCTATAACACCAGCACTCAAGAGACTAAAGTAGGAGAAATACACGAGGTACTCTGGGTTACAGAGTGAGTTCCAGGCTAGTCTGGGTCTATAATAATAAATTTTAAGAAATGAAAGAAATGTATGTTAAAAACTGGATAAAAGTTATCAGTCCAGAACAGAACTGCAGAACAACCCTTGTTAACAGCATTCAATTAAGAATGTCTTAAAATATTCCGCTGACCATAACCACAAACGTATAAAATTCAGAAAGATTTTCACTATCAGGTTAACTTACCTATGATGAATTTCAAATCTTCACATTAGAGACTTTCTCTTACTTTTCATGAAACTAATTCCTTCTAGACTTACTAGGCCATTTTAACAATCAACACACACTCTGTAACTCTGGCCTCAGGTTGCTTTCCTTCTCCTCCTCAAGTCCTTAGTGAACCACTTCCATCACCACAGATAGATCTTACATCTGTCTAGTCCTTTTGAACTAGTTACCATAAGTCCCAACTCTAACCCTGACCATTTTAAGAACAATTAACACTCTATATTTTTACATGCCTTAGTTTTTGTACATATTTTTGTCATATGAATTATATGATCTCAGAGTAATCTTCGGATCTTTCACCAAATCACAAGATCTCCTAGCACATAAACCATTTCTACCCTATGACTTGGTTGTTACTTACTAAATGCATATAGAATAAAAACTAATTCTATTCTACATGCTAATTTTCCTGTTTACTTGTATAACCAAACATCCTAGAGTATCCCCAAAAATTATCTAGGTAATGGAATTCCTAATTGAGGTCACTACTAATGCATTTAATTGGTAGTTTCCTCTATAAAAACAGCTGCTTACACACTGCCTCTTATTTGGATTTTTGTTTCAACTGGGCAAGGGTTCAGGTAAAAGAAGACATATTCAATTTGAATACCATGTAGCCTGCAAGGATTAAGTCCTTTCCTGAAATGCTTCATAGCTGCTAGTTACTTGTTCAAACATTAAATTCCAGGGTGGATGGGTACAACAACTGTCTGGTTATGTGAGGCCCTATGAGCAAGTTCCAGAAACAGCAAAATGCAAATAAAAATTAAATGTTAGTAAAGGATTGTAGGAGTGTTTGAGTATAATAATTTAAACAATCTAAAAAACTTCCTCTCATCTTTTCACTATGGAATTGTTTAATATAAATTAAAATGTTCACCAGTAAAACTTTCAACTTAAAGGCTGGAATACTGCTCAATGATAAGCACTTGGCTAGTAGTTATCAGGTTCAAGACTCAATCCATACGATTACAAAAATGAACTAGCAAACAAAAAAAAATCCAGAGCTCCAACAATTTTGGCAACAGTAAACAGACATATAAATATAAAACTTAAAACAGTTTCAACATCATTGGTTTTCTAACACAACTGCTTAGATTGAGATAATAAAAATCATAGCCATCACCCAAAAACTAGTTTAATGTGGCAGGGAAAAACCACTGATTCAGTGTTGCATGTGTGTATCTCAACAACAACTTAAATATTGTCATCTTCTTTTCTCTCTACAAATAGGAATATCATTCCCAACTTTTCCTATTGATGTTGTGGAAAACTTACTGAGAATGGAGATAAATAATCAAGTCCTTGGTAAACATTACTAGTGTTACACAAACATAGGGCATTATTATCCCATTATACCAACTTAAAACTTACCAGAAAAGGGATTTTTGCCAATGATTAAGACATTTGGCAATGACATCATAATCAACTGCTGCAAAGTCTCCTGTAAAATGATATCCAGTAGTTAGTAACCACATGGCTAATGCTGACTATGTAAAGACTCACCAAGTTGTAATTTAGGATTTGTACACTCTTCTGTGGGTGTGCTATATTAAAACAAACATGCAAGGGATATCTATTATGTCTTACATCTTTTGCACCTTATGAATTAAATAACTAAGTTATGACAGACTGAAATGATCACGCATGGTGGCTCTTATCTATCACTCTCACATCTGTAAGGCTGAGAAAGGAGTTCTTTTTAGAAGTTTGAGACCAGCCTGGCTTAAATACTCAGCTATAGAGTAAAACCCTATCTCAAAATATAAAATGAATAACTTAAAAGAGAAAAAACTCAATTTATTTAGATTTTTAGATTTTCTTTTGCATTGAAGCAAAATGAAGACTATCACTTAAAGTTTTTAAAAACACAGATATTTATTTTTAAAGCAATCACTACTTTTTTTCTTTTTAGTTTTTTGAGACAGGGTTTCTCTGTGTAACAGCTCTGGCTGTCCTGGAACTCACTCTATAGATCAGGCTGGCCTCAAATTCACAGAGATCCTCCTGCCTCTGCTTCCCTAGTCTGGTATTAAAGTTGAGTGCCATGCTACCACCACCTGGCAGTAATCACTATTTTGTCCATACCATACTTCATGACAATAACCTACCTCTGAATAAAGAACTCTTAAATTCACCCTCATAAATAAAGCTTATGGAAAAAAGTTTTATCTTACAGACTTTACAGATAAATGATAAAAACTTACTTTTGAGTAACATGAGCAATATTAACATTAGAAATTCTGTATCGGTCAACTGTTATAAGCAAAACTGCCCAAATGGACGATAATCTTTAGTATGGTCCACAACTGGTTTTTGCATTCTCTTCTCAGTAACCCACCCTTCCCATTCTATTGTTTCCTAATTCTCCCAAGTCACTGTCCCATAATGAGAAGGGAACTTCATACTCCCTCATCACCACAGTCAGCAGTGACCTCATGTAAACACACCCTCACCTTTACACTGAGTCTGCTTATATTTTGAAATAATTGCAAAATTTAATACCATCTAAAGTTAACACAGAATGTAAATGTAAATGGAATCTGATTTATAAAAATTTTTGTTGGAGAGAATAGAAAGTGAAACAAAAGTACAAAATCATTAAATTATAGAAACAATATTTTGAAATTAATATGAAAATTTATTTATTTATTACTTTATTACTTATTTTAAAGTGTTAATTTTAAGTTAACTCTGATAATAGTAATATGAAGTAGTAAGATAGTTAATAATTACACAAAATTTTTTTTAAAAAAATTAATTTCTAGTTGGTTACCCTATGGCTACCATGGGGTATTTTAGATATTAGCTTTGTTTCTGTAAACCATCCATTTCCCTAATCTAGTCTTACAAGTAGTATTTTAAAACATACAACATAAGCTGCAATGGTGGCCCATCCTGAGACCCCAGAACTTGAGGTCAGAGGATTGTTGCAAGTTGAAGGTCAACCTGGCCTACACTGAGTTCCAAGTGGGCATGATGATGCACACCTTTTTTGTTGTTGTTGTTTTTGTTTTTCGAGACAGGCTTTCCCTGTGTAGCTCTGAGCCTTTCCTGGCACCCACTCTGTAGACCAGGCTGGCCTCGAACTCAGAGATCCACCTGCCTCTGCCTCCCGAGTGCTAGGATTAAAGGCATGCGCCACCACCGCCCAGCCAATGATGCACACCTTTAACCCAGCACTCAGCTGAGGCAGGCAGAACTCTGAGTTCAAGGCCTATCTGGTTTACATAGTAAGATCCAGGACAGCAAAAGTTAGGGAGACACCAAGTCTCAAAAAAAAAAAAAAAGTAAGATATAAAAGTACTACTATAATTAAAGCTTTACTGTGTTATTCCCTGGCCCCTAGAAATTCACCTACCTCTAAAGATAGTCATGACCAGGATATTAAAGAAACAGGAGCAAGCATATGGAAATGAACACAAGGCTTTACTAAGATGATCATAAACAGGGCAAGGACAGAATGTGCACAAACTAGTTAAGATAATTTTGATTTCATACACATGATAAGCCTATAAAATTCATGAAAAAGTAAAAATAGCAATATACTTGAAAGAGAAATTTTTTTAGAAAATTGGAGCATTCATTCAACAAATACTGAATGCTCATTATTTGTCATATATTATTCTAATCAATGTCCAGCAGTTAACAATACCTTCTCTGAGAGAACATACATTTTAGTAAGAGTCATGAATGCTAAAAATAAAAATAAAGCAGGAGGGGCTGGGGAAATGGCTCAGAGGCTGAGAGTATGTGCTGTTTATTCAGAGGACCTGAGTTTGGATCTCAGCACCCATACAGGAGCCTCACAACTACCTCTAACTACGGCTCCAAGGGTCACCCTATTCTGGCCACACAGACATCTGCACACATGTGGCACACACATACACATAAATAAAAATTTAAAGCATAAAACAAATAAAAGTAAAGCAGGAATGAAGAGTATTAGTAAAAGTGAGAATGTTGAAATTTTTGAAGACATGCAAGTACTTAAATATAGAAAATATGAACATTTCCAAGGATATTAAAAGCAAAATTTCACTGGAAAAAAAGATTCAATTCTGGCATGAAGACAGTCCAAATGATTTGGAGAATTACAAAAATTTGAAAAAGAACTGGAAAGCATTATAGTAATAAAAAAACATTGCATGCATCTCAAAGGATATTGAAAGTAACTTCATCCCTAATACCTTTAGTTGGCATTACTCAATTTTTCTATAAAAATGATATCTTTCATTTGAGCATTTTATTTTTATTTATATACAAATAGTATCTAACTAAAGTTCATACACCTTTTTAAAAGACTGTAACCTGAATCTGATAGAAGAGAAAGTAGGAAGTACTCTTGAATGCATTGGTACCGGAGATCACTTCCTAAATATAACACCAACAGCACAGACACTGAGAGCAACAATTAATAAATGGGACCTCCTGAAACTGAGAAGCTTCTGTAAGGCAAAGAACACAGTAAATAAGACAAAATGACAGCCTACAGAATAGGAAAAGATTTTCACCAACCCCACATCTGACAGAGGGCTAATCTCCAAAATATATAGAGAACTCAAGGACCTAGACAACAAAATGATGAACAATCCAAATAAAAAATGGGCTATATAGCTAAACAGAGAATTCTCAAAGGAAGAATTTCAAATGGCAGAAAGACATTTAAGGAATTGCTCAGCATCCTTAGTCATCAGGGAGATGCAAATCAAAACAACTCCGAGATACTATCTTACACCTATCAAAATGGCTTAGATCAAAAACACTGAAGACAGCATATGTTGGAGAGGATGTGGAACAAGGGGAACACTCTTCCACTGTTGGTGGAAGTGCAAACTTGTACAGCCACTTTGGAAATCAGTGTGGCAGTTTCTCAGAAAATTGGGAATCAATCTTCCACAAGATCCAGCTATACCACTCTTGGGCATATACCCAAGGAATGCTCAATCATACCACAGGGACACATGCTCAACTATGTTCATAGCAGCACTATTCGTAATAGTCAGAACCTGGAAACAACCTAGATGCCCCTCAACTGAAGAATGGATTAAGAAAATGTGATACATATGATACATATACACAATGGAGTACTACTCAGCAGAGAAAAACAATGACATCATGAAATCTGCAGGCAAATGGATGGAACTAGAAAACATTATCCTGAGTGAGGTAACCCAGACTCAGAAGGTCAAACATGGTATGTACTCACTCACAAGTGGATACTAGAAGCAAAGCAAAGGATAACCAGACAACAACCCACAACTCCAGAGAAGCTAACTAACAAGGAAGACCCAAAGAGGGATGCATGGATTGCCCTGGGAAGGGGAAATAAATGAGATCTCCATGAGCAAACTGGGGGTGAGGGGTAGGCAATGGAGGTTAGAGGATGGGTAATGAGAACATAAGGGAATGGGATGGTCGAGCTGGAACAGTGATGGAGCGGGAAAGCAATAAGAGAGATACCATGATGAGAGAGAGATATCATAGGGATAGAGGGAAACTGGTGCTAGGGAAGTGGCCAGGAATCCCAAGGATGACTCCAGCTTGGACTACTAGAAATAGTGGAGAGGGTGCCTAAACTGAACTGGCTTGCTCCAGTGATCAGATCGGTGAATACCCTAACTGTCATCACAGAACTTTTCTCCAATGACTGATGGAGGCAGATGCAGAGATCCACAGCCAAACACCAGGCAGAGCTCCAGGAGTACAGTTGGAGAGACAGAGGTGGGATTCTATGAGCAAGGGCATCGGGATCATGATGGGGAAACCTGCAGAGACAACCAAACCAAATTAGTGGGAACTCATGAAAATTGGATCAATGGCTGTGGAGCCTGCATGGGACTGGACTAGGCCCTGTGCATGGTGAGACAATTATGTAGCTTGATCTGCTTGGGGGGCCCCAGCAAATCAGAATTCATCCCTGGTACATGAGGGGGCTTTTTGGAACCCACTATCTATGATGGGATGCTTCCTGCAGCCTTGAGGCAGGGGGAAGGGCTTGGACTTGCCTCTATTGGATGTGCCTCATCATGGGAGGCCTTGCCTTCTTGTGGGGGAGAGTGGGTGTGAGTTGGGGGGAGAGGTCGGGTGGTGGGAGGAGGTATTTACACACATTGATTGGTGTGTAAAATGAATGAAAAAAATTTCTTAAAAAAAAGACTGTAAGAAAGATGTCTTAACTCTATACCAGGTATAAATAGCAGTTATTACTGGAAAATAATGTGAAGCACTAGAGTTTGAGGGTAAGACAGCAGGCCAGGACTGAACAAGGAATCCATTGCTTCACTCTCAAACTCCCTTGAAAAGTGATCTAGTAAGAAAATGCTATCCTGGGGAAGCAGGAACCTCAGTTGAGGAAATGCATATATCAGACTGGCCTAAAAGAATAAAAAAGGAAATCAAGAAAAAATGAATGAAAATGAAACATAACATGCCTAGCCCATA